AAAACGGGGTCCCTGACAATGAGCATGAGAGTTGTCACCTTCAGAATGGCTGGTTGAGCTGCTGCCATGGCAATGGGAGTTTTACTCAGTGTGCAGTGCAGTCAGGTGAGACACTCGTAGCCTCATTCTGTGATACGTTAAAAATCTTTTCCTCCTCCTTTTTGTTTCCCAGCATTGAGGTTTTGATTCCGTGAGAGTGTACCTTGAAAAAAATGGGATGATGTGGCCTTGTTCTCACTGGTCTCCATCTGGGACAGTGAAAGCCACCAAAGCTGCCCAAGCAATAGTGCTGTGAGCAAAGGGAAGATGTGGGATCTTAGCCCAGTGAAGGCTTAGGACCTCTTCCTTACAGGCACTGTAGTCAAGGAGACTTGATTGCTTCAGAAAACTCTGAATGGTGATTGTTAGGGAAGTATCTGAGAAAGTATCTGAAGAGTTAGGATAATAAAATTTGAATATCAGAAGAGTTTTAATTCTTAAGGAGGCAAGTGTTGTTTCTGGCATTATGGGCTACAGGCACCGATCCAAGCATGCTGAAGTCAATAAAAAGCTTCTGTTTGGCTCCACTGAGTTTTGAATCAAGTCCACAGAACGTTTGATAAACTGAAAATGTTACAGCAAGCTTCTGGTGTTAGCCATGCCCTAATGACAGTGAGTTCTGGGGGGTCAGATAAGCATATTTTGTAAAGGAGATTTGCTACAAGGAAGAGAGACTCATTCTTACTTTGTTTTCTTTGTTATTTGTTGCTATTTTCATTTGGGAAACTTTTTTTTTTTTTTTTTTTTTTTACAAATTACAATTGTTTTGTTGTTTTGTTTTGTTTTACAATTGTGTATTTTCTGGTAAGATTTAAACTATGGTGCAGCAGCTTATTACTGTGTATAATAAAAAGCAATCAGTGCCTGCTGGGTGAATGCCTTGGTACTGAGGACACGCAAGGAGTACTTGGAAGTGCTGAAATGTAGCTGGTTTTATATTCATTGAGAGTTATTTTATTAGGACACGATGTGGCAATGACATGGAAACACTTAGTAGATGAAGTAGTGTAGAACAGCTCTTGATTGGTTTTCTGCTTCAGATCTGTGCCTGATGTATGGCTTGGCAACTGCACATACATGCAGCTATGCGTATGGCTCTATTTGGCAGGTCCTATAGATCAAACTTGGCAATACCTCTTGGTAGTGATGTGTAAGTGCAAAACTAAGTATTGCTGTCCCCTAAGCAGATAGAGAAGTTAAGGCAGAGGAATTGGACTCACCTTGGAAGGGCCACATCCTTGTGGCTGTTTCTCCAAACAGTGCACACCCATCTTGTCGCTCTGCTTGCGTTCTGCAGGCAGGGCTGTCCGATTGGTGGTGTGCAGGAGTAGTGGGGCTCCCACAGAGAGGTGCAGCCCCAACTGTGCTCCAGGGCTCCTGGGACCTCCTGGGCAGCTTTGCCCATGCTACTGTGACAGTGAAGTCCCTGAGCTGGTTGCACAGCTCTTCCTGACTGTGAGTGGTCTAAGAGAGAGCCAACCCAGATTGCATGAGGCCACTGGCATGGCCCACCAGCACATGTAAAGCTGACTCGATGCTAAGTGCTCTCTAACCCCTCAGGGTAGAGAAAGATCACAACAAAATAAAGGAGGAAAAAAAAAAAAAAAAAAAAAAAAAACACCTTTAAACAAAGAGCAGAGGGAAGCATTATTTTTTCTCAGCTTCTTTGTGTTAAGGTCAACAGAGCTGTCAAGAACAGCACTGCTTCTATACTTAGCAGGAGGGGTTTTGTGGATGCATCCATGCAAAGCTGGCATTAATGACTGAGTCAGGGCCCACTCTGCTGCAGAAGCAGCCTGGGCCATGCGAAGCTCCAGTAGTTTGCTGATCCCCATTTAGTGCTGTTAGCAAAACCACCAGGAATGGATCCCAGTCAAAAGTAAATGCAGCCTGGCAAGGAGAGCAGGTCCCAAGGATAAAAAAACAACTGAAAAAGAAAATCAATGTACTCACAGCCTTGGGCTGCGAAGCTGCCTACTAAGCTCATGCAATTTAAGTCCCTTCTTCCTCTGTTACGGCGCTCTTAATTTTGGGGTTCTTTGATCCCGCTATTCATAGCTGTGAAGCAAGCAGAATTTGATCAAGCTCTGACAGGGGCTGGTTGATTTTAACACCAGCTTCCAAAAAGGAGCTGCCGATCAAGGATGAGTCTTAATAGCTTCAGCTTGCAGCTCCTTTAGGCTTGTGTTGCAGCTGTGTGGTGTTTGGTCAACTGTGGAGGAGCTGGGCACCCACAAAAGGCTCCAGGGGCTCCTCGGGCACGGAGTCCCTCGGGGTCCCTGCCTGCCCTCTGCAAAGGGGCTGCATCCAACTGCTCATCTGCTGCCATGTCCCAGATGCAATGGGAGAGCTCTCCTCTTTGGGCAAGGAGTGCCTTTTGTGAGAGTGCATCCCGGGAGGCCTGCTGAGCTTTTGTGAGCCAGCAGATTACAGAGTTTTGGGTCCACTTGGATTAAACCTTTCCTTATTGCAGCTTATTGTAGCTGGTTTGGAAACAGTGAGGACAAGGGTTACTTTCTGTACCTAATTTCCAAGTTATTTTAGCTGGGGATGTTAGATAAAATAGTCAGTGACTGGCAGGATGATAGAATATGGTTTAATTTCAGATTTACTATCTGCCAACACATGCCATTCAATCAGATAAACACAGGATTTTGGCTGTCATCACAATATCTTATGCATACTTAAAAATAGAGCGCTTTTTCTCACACCAAGAAGAAATTGAACAGGTTTATATACAGGATGTGTATAGTCAGGATGCTAGAAAATGTGAAATAGCGTGCCATTTCTGGAGAGATTCCCTATCTTTAAATTAAGGAATCGTATTAGAAGTAGCAGAAATTCTCCTGATTGCAAAAGTTTTGTCATTGTCAACTGTGCAGAATAAGTACAAGTAAAGGGAACACCTTGAGAAGCTGAAATATAGAAAATGAGGGAAATGCCTGTAGTATTTACAGCAGAGAATGTGAGATCGTACAGAGGGCCAGACGGCTCAGAGCTTCTCTGTGTGGGAGTATGATTCCTCCTCTGGCTTGTAAGTTCCCATCCTTGCTGCTTGGTCTGGTGCATGTATTGCACCTATCACTGTAATGCTCAAGTATCTGCTCTGCTCAAGAGGTGGGGATAGAAAATGGCAATCTAGGACTGCCCCAGCACGATCCTAAATCAGGTTGTACAAAGTAGGCAATTTAAGCTTTCTCTATCGGAAGCTTCCATCCTGAAAACACAACTTCATTAAAGTGGAAACAGGTGAAATATGGCTGTAAAAACACCACTGAAGTTTTATGTTATAAACACATGTATGCAAATGAATACGCCCTTTTGGCCCATGCCCTTCATTAATGTTTGTTTGTTTAAATACTATTATTATTTTATTTATTTAGTTTATCTGTTGTGAGGAGCAGCTGATGACGCAGTCCAGCATTTTGTGAAGCTCTAACCTGGATTGTTTACCAGAGCCTCACAAGGCAGTTTGTTTCTCTGAATGTCGTACAATCAAACACATTTTCCTGCTCACAAGTCTGCAAAAGCTCCCAAGCTCTGTCTTACTGCTGCTTCTCTCCTGCTCCCCAGCCTCTTTCTTCCCTAGGGCCCACATAACCCACACCTTTGCTCTCTTATCTCCTGTCTGTTTTGCACTTTCAGCTTTTGAAGCTGCCTTTGGGAGATGTCCTTGTTACCAACCACCAGGACTTTCCAGAATAACTGATTTTATTCTGCCTGCTCTTGTTCTGTTCTTTATTCTACTAGGCTGCTCCAAAATGAGCTCTAAAATGGCAGTCAGAGCTGCTCAAGTATAATGGTATCTTTGAAGCCAAGGCCCGTACTTGCTTCGAAAAGCAGCTCTAGCAAAAGGGCAGCTTTTTCTAGTGAAGTTAATGGAAAGAAGGCACTTTTTTTGTGAGCGTCCGTCCTGCAGGTTTCTCTGCTGGAGGGAGGCTGCTGCCTTTGTAGCATGCAGCTCACAAGCAGCTCTGCCAGAGCACGTTGGCTTATTGCCCATGGAATCACGAGGGCAGCAAAATGGCAGGCAAGGAGCTGAATTCCCTACTGCTCAGAATTCATCCTTTTCTGATTATGCTCTCGTGGCACTTCAGAGAAGAACTCGATTACTGGATGGGTGGGTCCTGCAGATCAGCCTTGCGTGGATCTTCTCTTTTTCCACTGCTCCTTCCAGGAGTTGTGCTGGGCTAGGCAAACAGATGAAGCAAAGAAAGAGTGAGTCCGCTGTGGGTGTCTTTCAGTCCTAAAGGCTTTGGAATTGTGTTTGGTTTTTATTGTTTGCCTTTTTTTTTGTCACTTTTAGAAAAGCCTTTCACACAGAAGGCCATCCTGATTTATTTGGAACCATTGGTGGGTTGGTGGTGCGTGCACTGTGGGCTGTGGTTTCATTGGTACACTCAGCCTCACTAAATAGACGATGTGTTAAACGTTTTATTTACCCCGTGTGCTACCTGTCATCTAATCAGCTTTTGTTTTTGCTGCATTTTGCTTGTATTATAGCAAGAGTAAGTGATTTCATGTAAATTAAAACCACATGAAACCTTTTAAAGCCGTTTTAAAGTACTAAATGGTTTCGCAAATAGGTTTGTCCAACAAAGATTGGAAAAAGAGCTCTTTGCTTACCCGTTTACTCTTTTTTATGCTTATTAGAAACCCCCCCGTGTGACACTTTCATCAAACATTGCATCCTGGTACTCATCTAGAATGCCAAAAGTAATTTATACTATGCTCAAGAGTGGTTTGCATAAACAGGAGGCAGTTAACAAAGAATACAGTTTTGAACTACAATTGCAAATTTTATTGTATAAATTACAACACAGATGCACAATGAAATCAAAACACGTGTTCCTATGATGTTTCCTTGCTTGCCTGAAGCATAAAGCAGTGTTGGTATTAACTATTATTGCTGATGTTTATTGTTGCAATCATTTCACTGTGAATAATTTTGTTTCTTACAGGTGGATCGTATCATCTTCTGCGTCTTTTTGGAGGTTGACTACAAAATTTTCAAGAAGAAAATGGGCGAGATTTTCCCTATAGGTAGGTATGGGAATTTACTGCCATCAGACTGCAAAAAACGATGCAGGAAAAGGCAACAGTCGGCATCCTTTCTGTTTTCACTGCCTGAGCCAAGTATTAAAATGTGAACTTTCTTAAGAGGTCAGTTGCACAAAGAGGCTGTGATGCTGGAGAAACACAGGCGTTTAAAATCTGTGAACCGGTAAAACTGTTTTGTGATGCTGCTTTTGCAAAATCAAGGCCTGCTTTTCTATGCTCAGTATTATTAGTTTCTTCAGTCCTTACTGTAATCCATATCTCCTCTTTAAGGCTGCTGTGTGGCACTGCTTCTCTTGAGCGGAGGAAGATGATTTGCACTAATGTATATAGCTCCTACCGTACACGGCTTTTCCATGCACGCTGTGTATGCTTTACTCTTTCACTAATAGTGCTGGTAGGGTTTCTCTGCATCTTAAAAGGTACCACAGGGGTTAGAGCCCAACTGTGTCTGAATGGGAACTTTAAACCTGAGCTGTCCCTGTGCGAGAATGAATTGGAGAAAGATGGCTCTCACCGGAGCACTTGGGAAATGTTAGCCGTTCGTCTTAGGCTTCACACAGGAGGTTACTTTCTAGAATGCAAGAAAACCCGGTAGATAGTAAATTTGTTCACACTCCTCCTTATATAACTGTGATTTATTTTTATCATACATCATTAGAAATCCGTGTTAGAGCAGTGGGTTTTTTCAACCCTAACCCTCTCCCATTTTATTCTGTTTTCTCTGCTATATGTGATAAGATCCAGATTTTAGTCTTTTTTTTTTTTTTTTATCACCCATTTCTGAAATGGCAGTCACTTAAATGCTCCCTGCACTGACTGACTGCCTGGTGGAATGGGCCTGTGAGTAATGGGAAGCAGAGCTTGGGTGTGTTGTGAGATTCTCAATTAATTTTACAGGGCCATGTTGTCATAGTAGCCACGGTGAATTTTTTTGCCTTTGACTTTTTTTTTTTTTCTACTTTTACTGGTAATATGGATATTGTGATGTTTCTGCCTTATCTCACTAGAACTAACAACTTATCTCACTAGAACTAACAACTTTGTAATCTCCAGTTTGCAGTGATCTCAAGCCTAGAGACATACTGAATAATTCAGGTAGCATAGAATGGTGTCTGTGTATTAATATTTTGGGCTGGAGTATGGTGAACATTTGTTCGGACTGTATTCACATCTAGTCTGGATAGTGTATGATTTTTATCTTTTTTTTTGGTCAGTGTACACATTGGACAAGACAGCAGTGCCCTGTCTTCTGTTGCTGCCTCTGTCTCTGCCTTTCGGATTAAGGAAGAGTAAACTATTGTGGCAGTTTGTCAACAGATTACAGTATTGATACTCACCATCACTGAAGTCTTTGAAATTCCAGATGAAAGCCTGCTGTTGTTACTGCAAATGTAAAGCCCACTTGGGTTTGAAAGCCCCAGAGACAATGAGATGCTTCAGGTGCTGAAGCGTGACAAAACTAAAGGGGGAAAGAGGGTTAAAAGGGAGATCTACTTGTTTTTTTGTGTTGTCAAAATAGGGCATCGTTGAAGTCTTGAACAAAGAGGGTCTGTTGTGTTGGACATCACAGCGTGTAGACTTCTTATTGCCTTATGTGCAGGTGATTTGTTGTACCATAGTTCTATAATTTTAAAAGCATGTCTATTCTCATGCATGTAAAGCTTTAACTTTTTTTTATTGTTTTTTTTTGTTTTTTTTGTTTTTTTTTTTAATCGAACTAAAACAGGGAACTTGTATATGACCGTAGTAAAGCAGTGGTGATGGGAACCCTCTAATGTGCAGTAACATCCTGTAGTTGGCAGGCGTGTGACTGTGAAAAAGGACCACATGATCTGATGCTCATGCAGATAGCTTTCTAGAGAAAAAATGCTTTACTTCTCAGCAGCCATAATTTGGTGTAGGTTTCTAAAAAAACATCTTAGGACCTATTCTCATAGGCTTTCAGCTGTAATTTTCTCACCGTTAATGATTCTGAATACTAGTTTTGCTTTAATAGTGCAGGCTTCCGGAAGGACTTGAACATCTACTGGTTGTTAAGTTTGGAGCTTTAAAAGGCACCGAGCTGGCTTCTAAGATTTTTTCCCTGAGTCAGTGAAGGATTTCCTGTGTTTAGGTCAGTAGTCAGCAATTTAGGAGATCTGATTTTAATCTCTTGTAACACCACGGATGTGTGGTGTGCTCTTACAGGAGTCACTTAGATGTGCAGCTTATGAGGAGAGCGGCAGAAAAGATGTGTACAAATGAAATGACTTCGATAGCATCCCTGCAGAAAAGATCAGTATCTGGGCCTCTGTCTCAGAAGAGTGCCCTAATGATTGATGTTCAGCATCAGGCTTCCTTTGCCCTGCTGAAGTGGCACTTTTCTGCTGGGTACCATCACAACAGCAGGTTGAAGTTGGCCCCATCCTAAATTGTCTGTAGCTGAATGATGAGGACATTAGCTGTAGGTCTTAATGGTGATCACCAAAGGATTGTCAGGTGTCCTGTTTCTTCCTTTTTTCTTGTCAATTGGTATCTGCATTTAAGCCTAATGTAAGCTCCAACAAGTTCTCCACAGACTCCCCTCCTGGGGATTATTGCATCTCTCTTCAAGACTGGCTTCTTCCACAAGGGATTCGGTGTGGTTCTGTGTCAAGGAATTAGCAACTGTCTGTACCTTTGGCAATGGAATCCTGATATGTAGACTCTGGAAGGAACTGCCAAAACTGCTATGGCGTTTTTTGTTTGTTTGTTTTTAAGTGATTCTATTAGTGTAATAAAACAGAAGTCTCTAAGGAAAGATTTGCCCTAAATTTAAATTGATAGCGAGCTATCTGAACATTCACAGGAAGGAATAATGCTGAGATATTACTTGAGGCTTAGAGAAAAAAACACTGAGACGTTTTAAATGTGCATCTCACATTCAGAAACATTACAAAATATATCTACATTAATAGATGTGGGCAAAAATGCTTAGAAAGAAGAATATATTCATGGAGTTATATACATAAATAGTTATTACTTTAAACCTAGTGCATTAATAAATCCAAAAAGACATTCAAGTACTTAAGCTAGTCAAGTGATAATGAAATGAAGCTAGAGTTACACCTCAGTGCATTAGAGTAAGTGGAATATAGATACAGGGAAATTGTTCCATTAGTTGAACATATCATTAGACTTATTTTGTGAGAGGGATGCCAAAGAAATTAGTTGAGTAATAGTACTGATATTAAGACAACTGCCAAGAGCTTTGTCATTTGCAAACTTTAAATATATAGGGGAAGAAGCAGACTTCTAAGTAATTTCATATCTTAGAAGTGTAACATAGCTGTTCAGTAACAGACCAGTTGTCACAGCCTCAGCATTTCAGATCCAATCTTAGCAAGCAATAGCCTGTACAGAGCCTGAGTCAAAGCCAACATGCTCTGAGGGTAATGCCATGTAAGCTTTAACTCAGACTCAGATCTCATCCCTATGATGGCCCAGGAAAGTATTATTTTAGAGGGAAAAGTGCCCTGATTCACCCAAAATTTAGAGTGGAATCTCTGAGGTTTTGCTGAGAAGTTCCTGAATGTCCTGGTAGGAAAAGAGCAAGGGTAGAAGACTTTTTGTTGGACAACAAATCTTAAAATCAGTCACTGTTTTAGCACATGAGGTGAGACAAATGGTGATTTGTTTTTCTGTGGATCAGTTGTGTTCTCTCTCTTGGTGGAATAAAACAGCCCAGACATCCTCTCTTCAGCTGCATACTGACATTCTCTCTGGTTAATCTGAGATGATGTCTCGCTGCATATCCTTCAGGCAAATAAAATGCCCTTGCCTGTAATCCTGGCTCAGATGTGTACTTCTTACCTCACTGGATTCATTGCTACTGGTATTATGTGTGAGCTTTCCAGGAAAGCTGCTGATACTTGTATCATTTTTTCTCTTGGAATTCATTGTCTCTTCTAACACAGTTCTGCACAGAGCCTGGAATCCAGGCATTACTTTTATTGCTAAATATATATTTGTAAAACCTACCAGGAAACGGTATGAAAACGTTCCCCTTGAAAAGCTGGACTTGCTCACTTTTACCTTACAGTTACACGTGCTCCTTGGTTGCTATTCATGTGAGTAAAATTAAGCATATTTGTACACGGTTGCCAGCTGGAGGCAGAGACACCTTATTTTTCTCCTGTGTCCTGTGTGTAGCTAGCTATTTAGTATGTCAGATAGATAATCCTGTGGAGACCTTTGGCAAATGCTTATTTTTCATGGTGACTATTGTATATTATGAAAGGTTTGTCTTAAATTGCAATGTTTAAAGTACTTCTGAATCTACCACCTGTTATCAGTGGATTGGAAAGGGAAATCATTTTTTTCTGAAAATGTTCTTTAGACAAAATAATGTCATAAAAGGTGTATACTATGAAGCTGCCCCGTTCCAGGTGATATTACTCTTACTAGTTTAAACACAGTACAAGAATTACTTCACTAAAGCATCGCTAAAATTGCTAGAGAGGAGAGATTTGCACTTTTATTAGACCAATTGATAGATGGAAGATGCAAGCTTTTAGACTCTGTGTCCTTTCAGAGCTAATTGAAAGGATGCTGAGCCCAACAGCTTGTTCTTTTTTTTTTTTTTTTTTTTTTTTGTGAGCCACATCAGTTGGTGCTGAGAGAGAGAGAAATTGCTTCTTGAAAAGCTTTCTCTCCCTTCTATTCCAGGTTATGACATTTAGTGCATTTTCTGCTTTTACCCTGCATGCCAAAATGCTATCCACCCTGTCCAAAGCAATGCGGATGAGAACTACTGTTCTCTATTAATCCTCCTATTGCTTTAGGAGGATGCAATGTGCAAATAGGAAGTTGTGCATAAATGTGCAAATATCTTATAATTGCAGAGGAAATTCGTTGTTAAGAGATCTACCAGGCTTGGAATCAAATTGGAAACTGTCTAAATGCCTGAATGAAGGGCTTTGTATTAAAAAGGCAGATCCCTGCACTAATACGTGACTGAACTG